AAGTATCTGTGGTAAAATTTTGAGCTCGATCGGACCATTTTTTCGAGGGGTCGTAATGTTACTGGATGAAAACCAGAGTTTTCTAGAAAACCCATAGAAGAACACGTCACAAAATTCTGGGCAAAAATACATCGATTTTCTTTTTCGATGTTCTATCTCTGTTATAAATTTCACCCCGATCCGACATCAGCGTCCCCGGTTTTCAAGAGGGTCAAAAAAGAGCTTCTTCACCCTTAAGCTTCTTCAGCAACTAATATCGGCTACATTCATCGACACGCTGCAAAAAGAACAAGTCCTGTTGTTTGTTTTTTTGACGAAAGAACGCTCAGGCAAAACATCATTAGCATTTCGCTACTCAACACCCCATTTTCTTTGTTCAGTGATTTAGCATTGTTAGTAACTGAATAATATTGATCCTAACTGCCTTGTAACATTGTTGTCACAATCACCCGAAGATGTAAATGTAACGTCAAATGTTTACAATCAGGAGTATGTCAAATAGAGATGAGTAAGTGAATCGAATAGTCATCCAGCTATTTCTAATGGTGAACGTCTTTGGTCTGAGATGTTCAGAATTCATAGTGAATGTTTTTCTTTGTTAATTGTAAAATTATGCCTTTACATTACTACTGTTGAAAGTATTTATCAGTCGAAGATTATATTCACTACTATCATGTTTCTTTTTTTCTCAAAAGAATGCGCTTTTACACAGAAAACACCTGAATAAACTCTCATTTGTTCCTGTAGAATCTCTCCTTTCTTTCTGCTATATTTAAACTTGTTTTTTAGAGATCAACAAATTCAATCTTTTGGAATTTTATAATAATGACAAGACGGTTTTGCATTCCATCGTATGATTATCAAGAAATCTTCATGTGTCAGAAGAGAAACACCATCCTATTTTGAAGGAAAAATGTTATGTTGATTTTAGAGTTATAGCAGGTGATTAAGTATATACCATTTGTAAACATTGTTCGTTATTAATATAATAAATGAGTGAATAATAGAAGTGCTGGAAGCAAATAGTTTGTCTTTATTTTTCTTTTTTTTTGTTATAGATTCGGAAAAATGACAGTTATTACTTCCACGTTTATATCAAGGCTATCATATCATCTCAAACAGACAAATATTCTTTGAAAAAACAATTGTGTACATGAATTGATAAGTTAGAAATATGGGATTAAAAAATTGGTCTATTGTTTACATACTAATTCAGTTGTGTTTAGTGCAATCATTAAAACTAAATTCGACGAATTATTTTGATATGCTTTATCAACATTGTTCACCACCATGGCACTATTATAAGTCAATTTGCTATTACGTATTCGATAATATTAAACTTGATTGGTCATCTAGCTATCGTGCTTGTAAAACAATTGATAGTGATTTAATTTATCTTCACACGGCTGAAATGCTTGACGTATTACGTGATATTCTTGTTCGTGAACGTTTAGAACATGCAACATTGTGGACAAATACAACATGGGGTCATCGACTGATAAATAATAAACGAAGCATGATGTTATCCCGATATTGTCGTAAAATTGAAACTGTACATGACTCTGAAACTGGTATTCTTCGAACATTTCGTTTACCATTTTCAAATTGTCGAGAAAAACATACAGTTATTTGTCGTAAATATGTACCACCTTTAAGATCGATGAATGATACTAAGCTAGTTTGCAAACCACCGTGGGCATTTGTTCACGGTATCTGCTATTATTTAGAAGAAACAGGATTGTCTGTAAAATATACACTGTTGCTTGAAGAAGTTCACACTTTGTTCTGTCAAAATTGGACAAATGGACAATTGTTTTTCATGAATCCAAATGAAAAAAAGACCATTATTCTGCCATTTTTATCAAATATTCAGATACTGGAATCACAGAATACTTTACAAGAAAATTTTGGCGGTGTAAGATATACATTTGAAAATATTCGCACTGATCCATGTATTCATCTACCCGGTGACGTTTATTTTTCATCAATGTTCACTGAATTTAAAAATCTTACTCGTAAAACCCCATATTCTTTTACCACTTGTCCATTTGATCATTTAGAAAAATCTTATACATTATGTAGACAAAAACACCATATTCAAGGATGTGAACCACCGTGGTTTGTTGATGATGGATTCTGCTTGTATTATCAAGCAAAAACGTATGATATGGGTACAGCATTAAGTTTATGTAAACAAAATGGTGGACATGTACTCTATGTAACAAATGAACATGAACTTTATCGACTAGTCAAAGTATTATCTCATTTACAACCATTTTATAAAAAAGCAGCACTGTCTGGTGCTTGGCTTGCTCTCTATTTAAAAGTGATCGGTGATAATAATGATAATGCATGGAGTTGGGATATGTTAATTGAACAATATCTCGATTCAACATGGAAAAATAAATTATGGCAACAATATTTTCAAAATCATACAGCTGCTGGGGATTGTTCATCACTTGTTATTGATAGAAAAATAGCTGAACCAATTGAACGTGTTCAATGTGATAAAGAACGAACATTAATTTGTCGAAAAACAATCGGTTATAGTGATAAACAATTTCATCGTCGAGAAAATTATGTAAATATGAAAAAATTAATTGATGATCATTTAAAACAAAATGATGGTTTCACACGATCAAATCGAAGTCGTATATCTCAAAATAAAAATACTACAACGAGAATAGAATATATAACAAATATTACATCGTATTTTTATGCAATTAATTCTACAACATTTCGTCTCATTATTTATTCCGATAATATAAATTTACATGAAGTTTCAGCATATTGTAATGAAAAATTTCTATTTAATAAAACACTAGCAGATTTTGAAAAAAAAAATGGCTATTGGACGTATGATGTCAATATAACGTATCCACTTGGTTATAGCCGTGAAAATGACTACAAAATTCTTTCATCTTATTTTCGTCTATTATTTATCATTTTTGAACAGTATTTTTCACCTAATTGTACATTCAATACTACCCATACATCGTTAAATTTACTTGAACAATTACGATTATGTCGTTTAAATATTACAAATGATGATTCATTTTCCTATAATAATGAAAAATTTGAGTTTGAATATTGTCCAAATCAAGCTCATATATCATTTTTAGATGAAATAACAACAAATGAAGATTTAACCGTTCGACAAATTCAAACACGTTTATTAAACAGAATTCGTAAAAAATTAAATAATAATGAGGATAGTAATGATCGACATGAATCAATTGTTTGTATACCGATATTAAATAATGATAATACACCAAATAGTTCATTAATACAAAAATATTTTGAATTTGAAACATGTAATATTCTAGAAGAAATTTTTACTAATTATACTATAAAACGTGATATGTCAATAGTTGAACTCAAGACAATTGTCGATGAAAATATTTCTATTGATCAATTAACATTTCCATTGACATGTATGAATTCTGGTGGTCAATGTATACCAAAACATTTATTAGCATCAAAATCAACAATGTTTATTGTAAATTTTCCATGTCCATTAGGTTATCTATGTTGGATTCAAGGTAAGATTTTAAGATTGAAATAGTACAATATATCAAAATTTTCATCTTTTTATAGGTGAAGAATGTTCAAAAAATTCTTATTGTATTGATCGTTTTCATCATCCTTGTTTGAAATTCGTACAAAATTTTACATGTTTAAATGCACGACATCATTGTTGTTCATTTGAAATATCACAATCATCATCTTTATTACCATCAATAGTTGTTCATGATTCTTCCGTATCAGAAAATATTAATCCATGGAATATTCTTTTACCATTATATTATTTTTCATTTCATGGTACATCAAAATGGGATATATTTTTTTTTAATGAATGGTTAAAATTGGGTAGTGATATTAGTCACGATTTATCCGATGAATTTTTATTTAAATGTTATGGTATTTTTATTGAAAAACGTTGGTTACTCACACATGAAAAATGTTCACCAACTCGAATTAATTCTGCACGTTCAATTATATTTTCTATGATTAATAATGAAAAAGTGGCTTTACATGTTATCGATATTCATACTTATTCACCATTTCGATTTGTTCGTTTAGCTACAACACCGGATCCAATTCAAAATATAACATTTAAACGTTTAAATTTATTTATTAATAATATTGATGATACTCTATTATTTGAATCGTGTGTTCTAGTTATACCACGTATGAATACGGTACAACGATATATTGAACAAGATAATGATGATAAATATGTTAATAATGATATTTATCAAATTCGATTTGTATCAAAATTTGAACGACAAGTATTAGCTGACAAATTTGATGACAATAATAGTACATTAAAATGGTATTTTTATTTTAATAGTCAAACAATAACAGAGGATATGGAAGGAATAAATTGGTTATTTTCACCAATTAGTTGTGTTGTTAATTATGATTGGAAAATTGTTGCCATTTCAGGTTCACAATTAAAACATACATGTATGAGAATAAATGGTTATATTTATTGTCAAATGTTTTTAATTCAAAACTTTGCACCAGCATTAATTATTCAACATTTCTAGACAATTAATTTAATCATACGTTATTAATCATTTATTTTTTTGTATATTGAATCTGTTCCTTTACCTATGCTAACTGCTTACTGCTTTCTACATAAATTATATTTATGTTTTCAGTCAGATGTGTTAACAACTACAGACTTGCACAAAAATTAGAGAAATGATTTGTTCTTATGTTAAAATGCATGTACGGAAAGTCTGAGCACTATTAACAGAAAAACAACAAATATCTTTGGGATTTGAATAAATGCAATTTAACATAAGAATATCGTGAAAAGTTCGAAGGCGTCTCATTTTGTCCAGAAAAGTTTGTTATATATTTTAAGTAAGTTGTGTACAAAACATTTTTGATTGACTGATTTTTCTTGGGAAATCAATCAATTCTCATACTAGCAAATTTCAATAAAACTTTCATATACATCATCATTCATCATTTATCGACTGCAAACAAGGTTGGTTTACAAGCGGCTACAATTTTCTTCCATTCTTTGTGATCTTGTGCTGCTCTTCGTATTCCGTCGGCTGTAGGTAGTACGTCGCTGTTGATGAGCTTGCCTATGTACGTGGAAAACAATATCCGTGGCTTGCCTCTGCCTCTTTTCCCGTGATTTTCTTTGGGTGTATAGAGAACGTCATATACATCATTCCTAATTGAATACTCTTTCAGCTATTGAAATCACTTTTTAGATTGATTCTGGTTATTACGATCGAGTAAAAAACCTTAAAAACAAATTGTTTCTTTAATTTTACACAAAACTGTATATTTCTATTGACTGAGCCAAAAATGGAAGATGAAAATTATAACTGTTGACTTTTTGATAATTAGTCTTGATGCTAAATAATATACTAGAAAAAGATTTCTATTATACAGCAGATATTTTAATTATTAATCGCAATTAAATCTTACATCAATTTTTATAGCTTTGTCTGAGAACATGTGCTGCGATTATTATCGTGTTTATCAATTTATTAATGATGTTTGTAATATTTGATATTCAAAATTTATTGACACAATAAATTTGAATAACAAGTAGTTTGATATTGCTAAAGTTTGAGATAGATAAAAAAATTATACATTTTGTATAGTTTTCACACATGATTTTGGTAAATAGCATCAATGAGACGAAACTCAGACGTAGTAAACATTTGGAATATATTGAATACAATGATTGATTAAAAAATTCACAATTCACTCAGAGAACATCAAAACGAGTTCCGAACTTCAGGATATAGTTAAAAGGATTTCTAGAAAATCGAAAAAATGATGTTTTTGTCCTGAGATTTTCTAGAAATCCTTTCGGAAACCCATAGGGTTTTATACATTTTTTCTTGGTGATGTCTTTTAATCAGAATATAAAACAAACCTAAATACTATACATCTTGAAGTTTTGAACTCGTTCTGACGTTTTTTGAGTGAATTGTGAATTTTTTAATAATAGGTAAAAACGGACGGAAAACCCTAATTTTTGAAAAACTTGGTTTCGCTAGATTTTAAAATCTTTTTTTTAAAGAACAAATATTACCACGAGATTCAGCATAGTCGAAACGTATGTTTCCATGCATTGCTGAGATTTATTGACTGAAATGAAGAGCAGTCCTAGGACTCCCCGGAAAACCCAGTCCTCTGCGTAACCATGAGAGATGAACCCTTCGCTTACGTTCTGTTATGTGGAGAACACTTTAGTCTATCTATTTATGGAAAAGAATCAATATATTGCTATGTCAAATTTTCCAGGTAGGAAGCGGTTTTCCAAAGATCTCCGCAAAATCGGTTCTTGAAAACATTTCTAAATATTTTCTGCTTACAAAAACATGATCTTAAACCTTGGCTATCGAACAGCGAAAACCCACGAGTCTTCATCTACTTTCGTTCAATAGTTATTCAAAGAATGGCCACTGCTCTTGCATTTTGGTTTCGATGTTAGTTTTAAGACGATGACAATTAACATCACTTTTACATAGGCCATCCAATTTTCCGTTAGGATTTTCTAAAAACTCTCTAAAGGCCTTCGTTTAGTTTTTATTGGAATCTACGTTAAATTTTACCTATATGATGAGTTTTAAGAAAATAATATTGAATCATTTTATTTTTATTACTCAATACTGGACTCCCGTGGGCTACAGGGTGATCCATAAGTTTTGGACCCTCTCTGTAAATTGACATTATCTATATGAAATACATATAATAAGATTCAGCTGCTTTTTGCAAAAGTTTCCCCATTTAATTCTCTACAAAATGGTATAT